AACCAAAACGGCCAACAAGAACAAACGACGCAGCAAGCGGGACTGTGAGTGGAAAGGAACTATTGCAGCCACCACACCCCTGAACAGGAGCTGTTGGAGAATCCTGCAGGGATTCACCGCGGCGGTGAGCGAACGGCTCCGGGCGCCATTAAAGAAGAACAAAGACCCCGGAGACTCGCACACAGCCCCGGCGGCGGTAAGCCTGCGCAGGAAAGCAGCGCGCTTGGCGCGCTTGAAAAGAAAACGCGGACCGGGATCACAGCGCCCAGGTCCCCGCTAGGCTTGCGGGAGACTTGCAGAGGTCCTCACTGAGGTGAAGGTCCCTCCTGAGTGAGCAGGAACCAGGCGCCCAGGGCACGGGCAGTGCAAAAGGCGCCATTCCCGCGCCACTGAACTGGCTACAGCCCGCGTACTGGAACTGAGGGCTTTGAACTGAGACCCGGGGCACGAAAATTCGGGGTGTGGGTACCCACGACGGTGGGTCACAAGGCAGACACAGCAACCAAAGCTTGAGGTGTACCCTACCATTTCCGCTCTGTTCCTGTCCCACGGGGGAGGCGAAAAAACAGCCCCCCAAGGACAATAGGAGAGATCTCTGGGCCACTAGAGACCAGGAAAAAAAGTCACTAACACCCCATAAAACGGAAATTTCTTAAGACTGCTTGAAAAGGGCAGAAGGCTTCTGGAGGACCAGTGGACAGCCGGGAAGTTATTCCACGCCAGCCCCTTCCGACCAGCAGTCTGAGCCCACAGAGGGAGCAGGCACCCACGTCCGGGGCAGACCGGGTGCGCAGAAGAGTGTGCCTGAAACCGGAGGCGCAGGGACTGCATCCCGCTTCGCTATTTGAGAACAGGACATTTCTTCAGTAAAAACTCCTAAAACCAGCAGAAAGCTCCACCAGAAGACAGAGAGATGGCTCCTGGAAGAGCCAGAGGGGAGCGGAGAAGTTACCCAAGGTGTCAGTCAGTCGAGCAACACAGTGTCCCAACGCATACGACAAATTAGAAAACAGACAGTAGGGAGGTAGAAGAACCACACGCAACCTAACAACTCCTCAGGAAAAAGCACACCACAAAAAAGAAACCACTCCCAGATTGCAACGACAGCAACTTGGAAGAACTTCTGAGCCTTCCAGAAAGAGAATTTAAAATTGCCATGATTAAAAAAGTGATAGATCAGAAGAAGGAAATGAGTCCCTAAAGAGGGAAAACAATGGTCAGAAGAATGAAATTGAGTCCCTAAAGAGGGAAGTAAAAGAAATGCAGGAGATCAAAGAATTAATGGAGGAACTAAAGAACTCGGGAAAAGAAGAAAGCAGAATAGATGAAATGGAAGAACGAATAAGTTCTCTTAAGACACAGAATAAAAAGAACCAAAAACAGAAAAGGAAAGAGAAGTACGAAGGAAAAAAGAATGAAGAAAGACTTCGGGAACTATCTGACTCCATGAGAAAGGAAATATAAGAGATTATAGGAATTCCAGAAGGAGAGAGAGAGATGTAGGAACAGAGAAAATATTCAGGAGATAATTGAAGAGACTTCCAAATGCGAAGAAGGAGCTGAAAATTGATATACAAGAAGCAGAAGAACACCAAACTTTCCACAACGAAAGGAAAAACACAGCAAGCAAGACACATAATAGTAAAGCTCCAAGAATCCCAGGACAAGAAAAAATAATGAAGCTGACAAGAGGAAGAAACAGATAACATTCAAAGGAAAACCAATCAGGCTGACATCAGACTTCTCTGAAGAAACACTACGGGCAAGGAGAGAGTGGAGGGACATAGTCAACAGACTCCAAGAAAACAGATGCCAACAAGAATACTCTATCCCGCAAAGCTCTCTTTCCTCCATGAAGAAAGAATAGGACCTTCCCAGACCAAAGAGAAAACTCCGGAATTTCATTACGAATAAACCCCCACTCAAAAAATCTACAAGGAATCCTAAAGCCAGAACCTCAGAGGGACGAATAACAACGAAGAAGACCAAAAAAAAAAAAAAAAAAAAAAGTATAAAAAGAATAAATAAAATCAAAGGAAAGACAAACATAATGGCAAATACAGATGCTAACATATCAATATTAACTCTAAATGTAAATGGACTAAACTCTTCAATAAAAAGACACAGAGTTGCAGCCTGGATTAAGAAACAAAACCCAACCTTTTGCTGTCTCCAGGAAACACATTTAGCTACAAAAGATAAAAATAGGCTCAAAGTCAAAGGATGGAAAACAATCCTACAAGCAAATGGGCCAAAAAAGAAAGCAGGAACAGCTATACTTATATCAGATAAAACAGACTTCAAACTCAAAAAATAAAAAGAGACCCCAATGGTCACTACATTGATGATAAGGGACAATACTTCAAGAAGAAATAAAACACTCATTAACATATACTCACCAAACGAAAGAGCACCAAAATATATCAGACAACTGTTGTCCTCTCTGAAAACAGACATCAGAGAAAACACATACGTAGTGGGAGACTCAACACACCACTATCAACAATGGATAGATCAACAAGACAAAAAATAAGTAAAGAAACTAAAGCTCTAAATAAGGACCTAGAGCATTTGGGCTTAACAGACATCTATAGAACACTAAACCCAAAAAAACGGAGTACACATTTTTCTCAAGCGCACATGGATCATTCTCCAGGATCGATCACATACTGGGGCACAAGACAAACATCAACAGATACACCAAGATTGAAATCATACCAACCATCTTTTCTGACCACGAAGGCATCAAACTAGAAATAAATCAAAAAAGAAGGCAAGGAACTATCCTACCTCATGGAGATTAAAAAACCACACTACTGGAAGACCACTGGACTAACGAGGAGATCAAAGAAGAAATTAAAAAATTCTTTGAATTGAATGACAAGGAGGACACCAATATCCTAAATGTATGGATGCAGCAAAAGCAGTAATAAGAGAAAATATATAGCATAGAAGCTCCACATCAAAAAACAAGAAAGAACTCAAAGAAACAACCTAATCTCGAAAGCTCAAAGATCTAGAAAAAGAACAACAAAAACCCCAAAACCAGTAGAAGAAAAGAAATAATAAAAACCAAAGCAGAATAAATGAAATTGAAACTAAAAAACAATCCAAAATATCAATGAAACCAAGAGCTGGTTCTTTGAAAAATAATAAAATAGACAACCCCTAGCCAGCTCACAAAGGAAAAAAAGGAGAAAGCACAAATACACAGGATCATCAATGAAAGAGGAGAAATCACAACGGACACAGCAGAAATCAAAAGAATAATCATACTACTATGAACAGTTATATGGAAACAAGTTCAACAATCTAGAGGAGATGACAAATTCCTACAACTCTACAATCACCCAAAGCTAGATAAAGAAGAAATAGAACACCTAAACAGACCAATTACAAGCAGCGAAATTGAAATGGTAATCAAAAACCCCCCAAAAACAAAAGCCCAGGACCTGATGGATTTACAAATGAATTCTACCAAACATTCAGAGACGAATTAGTGCCTATCCTTCACAAAAACTCTCCAAAAAATTGAGAAGGAAGGGACAATACCAAACACGTTCTATGAAGCCAATATTACACTAATACCAAAACCGAATAAGGACAACACAAAAAAGGAAAACTATAGGCCAATCTCCCTAATGAACACTGATGCAAAAATCCTCAATAAAATTTTAGCTATCAGAATCCAACAATGTATCCATAAGATAATTCACCATGACCAAGTTGGATTCATTCCAGGGGCACAAGGATGTTTAACATCCGAAAATCAATCAACGTTATCCAACACATCAACAAAAAGAAATATAAAAACCATATATAATATCAATAGATGCTGAGAAAGCTTTCGACAAAGTGCAACACCCATTCATGATAAAAGCCCTTGAAATTCTTGGGATACAAGGAACATACCTCAACATCATAAAGGCCATCTATGACAAGCCAACAGCCAGTATCATTCTCAATGGTGAAAAGCTGAAAGCAATTCCATTAAGATCTGGAACAAGACAAGGATGTCCACTCTCACCACTGCTTTTCAATATAATACTGGAAGTCCTAGCCAGAGCAATAAGACAAGAGAAGACATCCAAGGAATCCAAATAGGAAAAGAAGAAGTCAAACTATCACTATTTGCAGATGATATGATAATATACATAGAGAACCCCAAAATCTCCACAGAAAAACTAATTCAACTCATCAATCAATTCAGTAAAGTGGCAGGATACAAAATCAACACGCAAAAGTCAGTAGTCTTCCTATACACAAACAATAAATCTGAAGAAGAAGAAATCAAAAAAACCACCCCTTTATTATCGAACAAAAAAAATCAAATATTTGGAATAAATCTAACAAAAGAGTAAGGACCTATACAAAGAAAACTATAAAACACTGTTAAAAGAAATAGAAGAAGACACAAAGAAATGGAAAGACATCCCCTGCTCATGGATTGGA